GTTCTCTGTGGCGGTACTGTCCCTTTAAGGCGGCAGCCAGGAGAGACCGCGTCTGCGGCCGAGCTGCTGCTGGCGCACGGGCTCGCAGAAGCTAGAGCATTTCAAAGCGTTCTCAGTTTGCTTTGTGAGTGGAAATCGCATGCAAAAAAAGAGATTCAGGAGAGACCCTAGTACCCTAGTTCTAATTTCTGGACGCCACCTCCCCGTTCCCTTTGCCTTACCTACCAATTTTCTGGTCTGGCAGCAGGAGCTCTGGACGATGTGTCCTATCGGGTCCGGAACCAAAGCGGGAGTCGATCATGACTAATTTGACTCTGCTGCTGACCAAGGGAGACAGTATAAGTATGTAGTGGAGAGATACAAATACACAGACCTGTGTTCAAACATAAGTTTTTACCTTTCCATAACACGAGATGTTAGACAAAATATTGAATTGGTCTGCTTCATTTTATCTTCCATCTTATACAATGAGGGAAATGCCATCTATGACCCAGGGCCATTGTGAGAATTGAGATAACTCCACCACACACGAAGGAGCCCTGGCGGGTTACATATTGGGCTGCTAATATCAAGATCCGCTCCCCATGAGATAAAGATGAAGCTGTCTTCACTGAAAATTTATAGTCTTGGAAACCCTAGGGAGCAGTTCTACTCTGTTTTATAGGGTTGCTACTATGCAGTAGTAGGGGGTTTTGTTGTTGTTGTTGTTTGGTTGTTTGATTGCCTCCCACCAAGTCATTGGGTGCAGAATAATGAGGATTTGGTGATAATTGTAATAAATAACATGAGTAAACACTTAATCAGAGCCAGGTATGGTGCCAAATGCTCTATAGTCATGGACTCATTTAATCTCCAAATGCCACTAGGTATGAGATAGGAGTTCTTAGAATTCCATGTTATGGATAAGGAAACTGAGTGATTAATTTATTCGGGGTCAAATAATCACTAGCAGAGACTGGGGCCCACACTCTTAAATCTTATGTTAAAAATAGCAGCTCTCTCCCAACTTCTCTTTAATGCAATCTGGTGGTGATAAAACAAAACAAAGCCCTCTGAAAGAAAGGAAGGAAACCCAGGGAATGTATGTAAACAGGCAAGGCAGAGAATAATGGGGCACACTTGCCCCTAAGCTTCCTGACAGCTGTAGCAGGAAGAGGGGGGGGCGTGAGCAGAAATCTCAGTTTTTATTTTCTGGGAAAAAAGAAGGCACACACGCATGCCTAAATAGACACTTTTCTAAAACCATAATCTCCGGAAGAACTGACTATGTGGCCATTTCAGCAAATATCCAGGACCTGAAAAAAAATCTGTGTATTTCTCTGCAATAAATCTGTTATTTTATGAGATACAGAAAGCATGTGAGTGAGGGTCAGACTGCAATAGGCAGGAGACTAGAGTGAGGGTTGAATCTGTGAAACAGGGCTTCCTGGAGGAGGCAGGGAAGGAGCTCTTTGTAGGGCTTAGATAGATGGAATGAAACTTGATAGTCTGAGGGAGAAGCAACTGGTAGCAGAAATGGTGAGGGTCAGACTTCTCACCCTCCACAGAAAGTGCTCATTTTGCTGCCCCTTTCTCTTGTTTGTCCAATGAGTCTCCATAGTATCACTGCAAGACCAGTCAGCTCTCTCTAGCTCAGGTATTGTGTCAGACTTCATGGCACAGTATGATGTGGTCATGGAGAACATTATTGGAGAAGTGTAGGTGAGGGGTCTAGCATGGTGGGAAGGGATTAGGATTTGGAATCTGACAGGCTTCTACGAGTTTCACCTCAGGAACACCTGAGGACTAGGGAATTCTGATATGATAGTGTTAAGAGACACATCTTTACACCTTGCTTTACATCTGCTCCTCAGTTAAGGTTGGAGACCTATAACTGTATGCATTGATTCATGCTCCAAATGAGATCATTCTCAATTAAGTCAAGCCCATCTTATTGACTCCTTTTTCACAGTGAGCCATTGATCAGTAATTTCTGTCTCACACTCACAGGCTTTCATATTTTATGCAGACTTGCCCAGTGCTGTCTGATATTGAGAATCCTCTAAAGACACACAGGCAGATCCTACTTACTGTATACAGTGAAAACAGAGAAGTGCTCTTTCAATGACAATACAAATTATGATGGAAGCCGTAAACAAGGGACATGGTGGAAAGGGAAAACTTCTTGAAGGAGGCAAAGGCTGGCATTGGTGTCCAAGAATAAAAAGAAGTTTACCTTGTTCAGTGAGGAGGCCCTGCAGGAAAGGGAAGGTATTTTAGCAATGTGGGGCCTGCATGACAGTGATGAAAAACATCTAGGTTTGTGTAGTGAAGTAAAAATAGATGGTCATTCTTGGAACATCAATTTGAGCTATAAGAAATGCTCAGAGATGAGGCTGAAGGTAGGTGAGTATTGTAGATGCATCATAAGGAACATGGGATTTGTCCTTCAGTGCCCAAGGACTTATGCAATAAAATGACATTATAAGGTTTGTATTTAGAAATGTTCAGCAGCTCATAGGAATATACATGGATGCAAAGGCCCATACTTGAAGATGGGTGACCTGAGAGAACTGAAGCTTGAATTTGAGCCATGAAGGTTTAAGAAAGAGGAGTGGATCTAAGATGTATCCAGTAGGTAAACTCAGCAAGATTTGGTGGCTGATTGGATATCAGGAGACTGGTGCACAGGAGATTTAGTGGCAACACTACTTTCCATCTGAGGTAGCCAGGTAGTTAGTAGTCCCTGAAGTGAGAAAGGGATACGAGGACAGTAGAGGGGAAGGAAGGGGAAAAGATGATTAGTTCCTTGTTTGGTAAAATTTTCTGGAGGCATCTCCTGGTCCAGCATTTAGTGGGCATGCAGTTCTATAGAAGGAGAGTGTCTAAGAATTGGAGAAAGAGGCATGGGGGTCAGGAGAAGAGGAAACTCAGTGGTTTAAAACAAGAGCATGAATGAGAATATGCAGAGTAAAAAGGAAGATACATGATCCCAGTACTTGAATAAGAGCGTCCCAAATCACAGGGCTACTGATCCCCTCAGTCCCTGAGCACCCATAGTGACTGCCAACAGCCCCACAAGGAGGCCACAGTTAATCTTCATGGTTTACCCCTTTTTGCTATACCAGTATAATCTTGTTTGGGTGTTCCCTGGCATGAAAAATAGTGGGGAGCACTAGTTAGGGACAGGCACAGGAAGGGAAGTGTGAAAGGGACTAATGAAATGAGCTAGAGAGGTGGTAGGGTCACAAAACAAGTTCATGATATCAGAATCCCAGGAAAATGAAATATGAAGAAAACCTAAGTGATGGTCCAAGGAGGGACAGATACTAAGGAAAGGAGAGAGGCTGGTTGAACATTTGAGTGGGAAGTGGGGGAAAAGGAGATGGCTTTAGTGGGTGAAAAAAATGTATAATCAAACTGGAAAGCCCAGTAGTGTGTGCATGTGTGTGTGTGTGTGTGTGTTTGTGAATGTGTTGGTTTTCATCTGTTTTTATTTTTGTCTTTGTTGTGGGGTGGGGAGGTGAAGAGAATGGCCCTGATTGGTAGAGTAGGTTCTGAGTGCTGGCAGTGCACTGGAAACAGGGAAGCACTTTGTAGGTTTTAAACATGAGAAAGAGTTACATGGGATGTGTGCCCCAGGCAAGGGGTGGGGATGGGTTGCCAAAATGCCTGTAGGCTGGTGCTGTTAGATGTCTTGATGAGACAAGAGGTTGGGGATCAAGTGAGACCTAGGTCATGGCATCAGTGAAGTGAGGTAAAAGTTTGAGATGACCTTAGAAGGGAATGTGAGTTTGGTGAATCAGGGTATGTTGTGGCTCAAAGAATAGTAGGTTAGTGTCCCAAGAGAATAAGAGGTTGGGACTATATATGGATAGGCATGTAATTTTCCCAGAAGCTCTTACCTACTTAGATATGAGAACAGCTATTACTGAGTGGATGACCTAGACCCTTGGAAACTATTAATGTCGGGAGAAAGGGAAAGCAGAAACTGCTCAAGCACTTGTGAATTAATTGAAAACCGATGTAGGAAAGGAAACCATGTTCTCCTCATTCCCCTTTTCCCTTCAGGGAGAAGGAGGCAGTGTCCAGTCTTGTGGGCAGAGAGGAAGATCATCTAGTTGCACCAAAGCAGAGCAAGCGTCAGGCTTCAGGAGTTGTGCCCTCCCAGCTCCCCCTCCACTTTTCTGCTTATCTCAGCCCCCTCTGTAGGGGGAGAAATGACCTGAGAAAGGCAGTGAAGGTGATCATCAGCCAATCACATCTCAAAACATCAATACCTGATCTAACCAATCTCTTCTAAACAGAAAACTCCCTCAGGCTCTGCTCTCTTTTTCCTCCCTGTTCTGCCCAGCAACAGCAGAGAGGAAGTTTAAGGAGGAGGGAGAGACCCTGGCAGGGATTGGAGCTAGGCCCCAAGCTCACTCTATAGAGGGAGGTTAAAACAATACTTAACAGTTCCTGGAGCCAGGCAAAATGTCCCTGGAGACTCCGAAGATTGTCCAAGCCCAGCTTTCTCACAGACAGGAACTCATATATTACAAAATTCATGAACCTTGGGGCCCTAGGCCATCAGTAAATGTTATTCCACCACAGTTCTGGGCAGACTGTTGGGCTGAACAACTAAGATAAGAATTTTGGTGGAACCAAGGGCTCAATAGAAAGAAAATATTTTGGAAATGATGATGGCAATGTATGTACAAATGTGCTTGATACAACTGATGTACCGATTGTTGTAAGAGCCCCAATAAAATGATTTATTAAAAATTTTTAAAAAGGAGTTTTGGTGGCGGAGCTGGAATATTGAACAAACAATTGTACAAAAGCCTACTTAAGAACAGGGTTTTTTGAAGGAAAATAAGACAGGCCCTCATTTAGATTGGCTTTCACAGCCCTTCCTGGTTTTACTTCATTTTGTCTAGGTTTATGATGGCCTTTTACTTCATTACTTTGTCCCTAAAGTCCTCCTACCTGTGGAGAAAGATGTGAGTTTTATTATAGATGTGAGCAGCTCTATGTTTGATGCCAAGATGAAGCAGGTAACAAAGACCCTGAGAGTCTTCCAGAACCCTGAAAATAGGAGATAAAAAAATCAGAGAGAGCTGAAACAATGGAGCCCTGAGCTCAGAACTCTGCATCCCAGTCACCCTTGAGACTCACTAGAATTGCAGTGTTTGGAAAACATAGAGTTCTGGAGTTATAGAGAATTTGAATTGTGCAACCCTCCTTCCAGAACACCAGTGAACCAGAGTACTGGAGACATAGATTCTTTTAACCTTATGGTCCAGCAACCAAAAAGTTTTGACATTAGTATATGAACCCATAAACTTCTCAAAGCAGAATATTCAAGCCATAGTTGTTTGGAGCTCCAAAATGATATGGTTGTGGGGGCTGGTGACAGTGTAGCCAGCCATTGGTCCTTAAAGCCACCACAATCCCATACCCTGGGACATAAGGTTATATGACCTAGTGTTACATTTCTCAGGTAGGAAATACGCCTGTTCTTGGCTTCACACAACAAAGAATTCACACTGAAGCTTGGTTTGTGATACAAGTGAGTTTTCATGAAGTACGAAAGAAATTTCAGGTTTTACAGTCACTGAACATAGGCAACCTTGTGAGACTGCACACCCACGCGTGGTAGCCTGAGGCCAGAGAGATAGAGTCATGGCTGAGCGTAAGGGTGAGGAAAATGGGGTGGGGGGGAGCCAGAAAAAGGCCCTCCCGGTATTTGGGGCCTTTGGCTAGGAAGTGTGGTCGAAGGTATTGGCGGAATTAAACCCACCTGGCCTACTTTGGGCCCACCCAGGTGTACTTCCCACCTGGCTCAGGCTTGAATTGGCACATGCCCGGCAACATTTATGGCTGGCTGAAGCTCACCTGGTTCTCCGCAACAACATCCTGTAGGGGTCCTCCAGGCATAGAGAGGGACAACCCCTAACCCTATCCTGCTGCTTAACCCTGGGATCCATTAAATGTTAGGATTATGGGGACCTGGATGTGTAAAAATCTAAGAAAGCCACTGAACCTTAAAACTTTAGGAAGCCAGAACCCTTTGACTACACAGAGAACTGAAATCTCACAGTTTTAGAATCCTACAGTCTCTGGGATTAAGAATTTTGAATCATAGAAACCTTAGGCCGCTGATTAATTAGAACAGCAGTTCTCAATGTGTGGGTCGTGACCCCTTTCACAGGGGTTGCCCGATCCATAACAGTAGCAAAATTGCAGTTGTGAAGTAGCAACGAAAATAATTTTATGATTGGGGGGTCACCACAGCATGAAAAACTGTATTAAACGGTCAAGGCATTTGGAAGGTTGAGAACCACTTACTTAGAACATAGTACATAGTGGTCATAAATTCCTTAAAATATAAGGTCTTGAAATAATATAGTCCTTTTCAACTTAGCACACCAATGAATCCTAGAATCATAAAATATTTAAGTCATTTTAAATGTGGAGCAAATGAAACTAGAGACTGAATCATAGAATATTTTGAACTTAGCATAGTCATATATACTAATGAAATCTAATAAGTCATTTGTACCTTAGAATCCTATGACCATGACATGGAGAAACTAGGGAGACTGCAACTAGAATCTTTAGATTCAATGTGCAGAAAATCTAGCTCAACAACTGGTTTCATAAGTAAAGTTTTATTGGAACTCACTTATGCTCATTCATTTTTTTCATGTACATAAATTCTTCTACAATAAAAGGACAGAAATGAGTAGTTGCAACACAGTCCATATAGTCTTAAAACCAAAAAATATTTACTATCAGTCCCTATCCAAAAATGTTTGCTGATTCCTGTCCTAGAGCAATAAAATTATATGATTCTGGAAGTGGAGTACCTGATCATTTAATTTTACTGAATATTGGGGTCACAAAGATCTTGAGCTATAAATACTCTGACCTTAGATCCATAACAACCAAGATCCATGGACAGCATAAAACTCTTGGTGGTCTGAATTGGTCTGAAACCATAAGTTCTTAAGACCTTAAGGTCATAATCATGGAAACCCTGAAATCACACAGACATCAAACTATATAGCTCTTAGGCCTTAGAATCATGAATTTAAGAGCCTAGGAAACAAAGAAGGAAACATGGTGGTACAATGGTTAAGCACATGACTGCCAACCAAACGGTCAGATGTTAGAACTCACCAGTCACTTCACCGGAGAAAGATGTAGCAGTATGTATACACAAAGAAATCCTATGGGCAGTTCTACTTTGTCCTACAGTCAGTGAATTGGAATCAACTTGATGGCAATGGACATGGGAATAGGAACCAGAGAAGACTTGAACTGAATCGTCAGGCCACATCTTGTTTTAAAATTTGGAACCCAGAGTGGTTTTAGAACCTAGAGGATAGGGAATCAATGGGAAATACACTTTGAACCTTGTGTTTGGCCAGGTTGACTAGAAAAACAAATCCAAAGATTTTTATATATATAATCTCTCTCTCTCTCTCTCTCTCTCTCTCTCTCTCTCTCTCTCTCTATATATATATATATATATATCTTCAAACTCAGGCAGTCACAAGCAATGATGCAGAATACAGGAAGATCACAGGCTAGTGGGTACAAAGTCTTGTACCAAAAGCTTTTTGGTACTCTGAGCTTAATGTCATCACCTGTAAAATAGAAATAATATTAATGCCTTCTTCATTGTATTGTGAAGATTAATGAGCTTATATATAAAAAATATTTAGCACATACCTGGAATATAGCAAGTATATATAGGACAAGTACACCTTATTCTATCAACTGTCTGGGACAGGTATGATCTAGGGAAAGGGGAATGAGTCAGAATAGGCAATTCAAGGAAGAGTTTCCTAAAAGAATGATCAACTGAAAGAACAGTGAAGCTATAAATAAATAAAGGGAAAGTAGGTTGATTTATCTGAAGGTCATACCAAGATCAAAGTTATGGAGAATCTGGGGATCTAGGGGTTAGGTGGAATAACCTAGCAGAAACAGAAGGTGTTTATGATGTGGAATCATAAAGCCCTCTAATGTTAGAGTTCTAGAATCATGAAATCATGGGTCATGGGTGTCCAGGAATCATAGAACATATGGTTCATAGAACTCTGAAGAAATATAAATTGAACTTTCTAAACCAGTCCTATGCACTAGAACGTTCTTGATTATGAAAATGTACTAAAGTTCTGTGATATCCAGCATGATAGTCACTAGCCACATATGGTTATTGAACACTTGAAATGTGACTACTGCAAGTGAATAATTGAACTTTTTAATTTGTATTTAATTTTAACCAAATTACATTTAAATAGCTACTTGTGGTTAGTGACAACTGTATTGGATTGTGAAGTTCTAGACTTTAGACCAAGAAACCCTGGAAATACAGAGACTTCAGTCCCTGAATCCTAGAATCACAGAGTGCTGTAGTCAGAAGGGCTTAAAAATCATACAATATGTAGACCTTATTGCCTATATGTAAAGAGCCCTTGTATCTCACAGACCTCAAGTCTTGCCTCATATTCTTCAATTCATTTATATATCAAAGATTTAGAAGGCCATAAATGTGATCCTCATTGACCCGTGAGTCAATGACTACTTCAACATCATCTTTTCTGACAGTTAGTGTCTGGCAAATTGGAGGTTCCATCCAGGCCACCATTCAGGATGTCCACAATACCAAGGCAACCTAGGGCACAGGGAAGCTGATGGTTGAAAATATTAGACCTATGTCCCAAATAGGAAGGTGGTAATGATGTTGAACATTACTAAAATTCTCCTTTGATTTTCCTATTCCTCATACCTATGCCTGAAATATCACTATTACATTTCACACGAATATGCCCCTTCAGCTTTCTGGGTTTTCTGCTCACCCCCTTTTCCTAGTGGAAATAGTATAGTTGATTCTCCATGTGTCTTTCCAAGTGCTTGCAAAAACTGCTGCTCTGATTCTGGCTTTTGATCAGATCTTTACGGAAATTACAGAAGTCTCCCCCGACCACCACTCCTTTTCTACTCAGTCCTTTCTTCCCTTGTAGTAAGAATATAGAGTCAGATTCTTTCTTTAGGGAGATAACAATCTAATTTAGGAGTGAGACAATCGCCTAGGAAATAGGCAAAGAATAGTCCTAGATAGAAAATCATTAAAAACAAAGGCATGTGGGTCCCCTTGTCAGATGTCAGGGAGCTCAAGGAAGAGAAAGACTAATACTTGGGTAGGGGTGGGCAAGTTGAGCAGGATACATAGCAGAAACAGCTTGAGCAAAGATGAGGTATTACTGAGCCTGGGGAGTTGATGAGGCCCAGTTGTTTGCAACTGAGATAGAAGTAACCTGAGAAGATGATCTTATAATCTTTTCCCCAGTTAGGGACTGGCATCACAGATCTGCTGGCAGATACATCAATGCTCAACTATAGCAATAACAAGCCAAAGAGGGGGGTTCAGTGTGGAGAAGATCCCTCTCATTATCTCCTTGGTGTGATGACTCTCAGTGTGATCCTCTCCACTGTCCATCAGGCACTGGGCCACAAGCTATTTCTTTTCAGTTTGGTCTTTGGAGACGATGCTGACTTCCTGCAACTGTGCTTCCTTTCCCTGGAGAACCAGGGAACAGCCCAGAGAATATATAAGGAAGTTGAAGCAGCTCTGCAGCTGTAGGGCCTCTATGAGGAGATTGGCATACCTCTGCTCAGAGATGTGCATCTTGATTACTTGGGTGGCTTTTGGGGGGCTTCTACTTAGGCTTTTCCCCCCATCTACTTTAGTGGCTCAGAGTTGGTGGTGCAGCCAGGTGATCAGGAATAGGGCATCCATCTGGCAGACTGTGGCCCATAGAATCAGCTTCACATGGCCTACCGCAGTGAGGTGGTCACCAGGAGCAGCCAGGAACTTTTGCCAGCTCAGGGGAGCCAGGCTCAAATGTAACACACTTATTAGTTACCTCTGGTCCTACATCATTTTACAGCTTCTAGAGGCATACTTCCAGGCCCATGAGAGTACCACTCATCATCTACTGGAGGTCAAGGCCCTCAAACTATCCCATGAATACAATGCTGTCACACCTCTGAATCCCTTGATCTTACAGGCCAGAGAAGGGATCTGGAGACAGGCCCTTACCACAGGCAGGCCAAGTACCATCATGGCTTCATATACTAGCAGGCATGGCCTAGGAGCAGGCATAGACCATCCAGCCTTAGGCTCAAGGTTTCCTCTCAATCAAGGACTATGAAACTAAAGTCATACCTGTGTTCAACTATTCCTGCCTCTACAAAGAAGATTCCCAGATCCAAGAAACTGTAGCTACTGGGCCAGAGTCCTACAACCCTATCAATCCCAGTATACCCTAACCCTAAACTTTAGCACAACAGGATTTTGCCACCTTGGCACAGCTGATTTTCAGGATGAAACCTGCTACTCTTATACCCTTAGTTTCTGGTGCTCTGTTGCATCTGAAGCTGAGCTCTCCGTTACTCCAGAATCCCTATATTCCATTATTCATGAATTCCAAGTCATAAGTCTCACCTCTGAATCCTGGTACCCCATCTAAGTCCAAATCTGACACAATTAAACCTGTTATACAACTATATTCCAAACCTGGTGCTCCATCACAACCTAAACTACATGTTCTATCACACCCAAACCCATATTACATTCATTGAAGAGCCTGCCACAACCCAGAAATGGAGTTCCCACAGTGCAATAGAAGATAAATGTCTAGAAAATAATGATGTCAACATATGTACAAATGTGCTCAAAACAATTGATGTATAGATTGTTACAAGAGCTGTAAGAGCCCTCAATAAAATGTTTTTAAAAGCACAGACCCCCAAACACATATCACATACTATACCTAGAGTGTTTCCAAAATGGCAAACAACCTGCCTATAACTTACACAAGTATCCTCTTACACAACACTCCTAAAATTCCACCATCTTATAAGCCTAGTGCCCACCTCACCAAGCTTCCTAAAATCTATCATTCTGTAAACCTGAAACTTCAGCCCCCTCCATATAGCAAAGACTCCACTCACTTTGAGACCTGGCAAACCCAGGCCCTCACCCCCTCAGAGCCTAAACACACAAGTACAGTTTCACATACCATATGTCCCAGAAGTACCATGTTCACTCTCTGTACCTCCAACCTGCTATCTCTGCTACCTGCTATAAAGTTTTAACATCAGTATGGCCAGCTACCAGTACACAGAGTACCAAGCCCGTTCTGGAACCATCTGTATTCAATAGCTCTTGGCATGCATCAGAAAGCTACCACCCAAATATGCTGATCTTGCAGCCTCCCAGCTCCTTCCCTGAAGTTATCAGCCTGTTCCTTCTTCCAGAGGAAGTAGAGCTACTGTTTGAACCACTGATGAAATACACATTTGTGAAGTCTTTAAATCCAACAGCTTTCTATACCTTCCTCACTCCTGACAAAGATGATGAGTGTCTTGAGAAAGTGGTTAAATTACAAGTCAGGGGGTGGTGAGGGGAAGAGGAAATGAAGGAGGCATGAATAGAGAGCATCAGTAGCTTGGAGTCTATCTACAGGCTTAAGCAGATTTTAGTGACAGTGCAATAGTGAGACCTTGGCCCTGGGATAGGAGGGATGTTAAGACTGGAAAGATTGAATACAAACTGGCTAGGCGGTGGGTTTGACATCTGTTCTGTAGTCCAAGAGAATTCATCACTTCTCTGACAGGGATGGGTATGGGGGGTTAAATGTAAGTGTCATTGGGCAAGGCAGGGTGATACATTCTTCTGTGCCCTGTAAATAACCCTGCTTAGAGGGGTATAAAACTTGGGGAATATTATGACAATTCACTTTAAATTTCCCAAAGACTCTAAATTAAAACTAAGTAACATTCTTGAGTTCTTCCTATATGCCAGCACTGCTCTACATATTGTACATGTAGTCCCTCATTAATCTTCACAAGAAATGATTAATATCTCCATTTTGCACATGCAGAAATCAAAGCACAGAGAGGTGAGAAAACTTGTTCAGAATCACACAGTAGGAGGTTTGAATCCACATGATCTGCTCTCAGATTTTATGTGCTTTGCCATTCCACTATTCTGTCTCCTTGAAAAATAGGACTACCATTTTCTGTGTGACCTTTTAGGACAGGATTAGAACAAGGGGGGGGGATTAAAATCAAGAGGATGACATTCTTGATAGTGTCCTTTTCTTCTTCTCACCATTTCTCATTCATCCTCAATTCCTATCAATGTTACCTCTAATGTATTTCCTCAATCCGTCAACTTCTCCAAATCCCATCAGCCACATTTACTTAGGTCAAACTACCATTATGTGCCAAGACCTAGAATTAGAAAACCCAAAGGGAAGATATACATACACTAGTATATCTAAAACTGAAAGAATTGAAAAAATATCAAGCCTCAAGATGCAATATTGAAAGATTCTATGGGGGAAATTTTTGAATGATGCAGGGAGCATCAAAAGAAGATAGAACGAATACACAGAGGCACTGTACTAAAAAGAATTAGATAGCATTCCACCATTTCAGGAGGTAGCATATGAGCGAAACCAATGGTACCAAAGGTAGAAGTTCAAGCTATACTGAAAGCATTAGCCAAAATCAAGATTCCAGGAATTGATAGAATACCAACTGAAATATTACAAAAAGCTAATGAAGCACTGGAAGCACTTACTCATCTATGCCAGGAAATTTGGAAAACAGCTACTTAGCCAATTAACTGGAAAATATCCATACTTATACTCATTCCAAAGAAAAGTTACCCAACATAATGTGAAAATTATAGAACATTATCATTGATAATACATGCAAGCAAAATTTTGCTGAAGACCATCCAACAATGGTTGCAGCAATACAATGACAGGGAGGTGACAGGGGTTCAAGCTGGATTCAGAATAGGATGTGTCACAAGGGATATAATTTCTGAAGCCATATGGATCTCGGAGCAAAGGGGAGAATACTAAAATGATGTTTACTTGTGTGTTATTGACTATGCAAAGGCATTAGACTGTGTAAATCACATCCAACTCTGGATAGATAGCCTTGAGTAGAATGGGAATCGCAGAGCATTTAATTGTGCTCATGAAGAACTTGTACTTCGATCAAGAGGCAGTTGTTCAAGCGGAACAAGGCAATATTGCATGGCTTAAAATAAAAAAAGGTGTGCATCAAGGTTGTGTCTTCTCACTATACTTCTTCAATCTGTATGCTTAGCAAATAATCAGAGAAATTGGGTTATGTGAAAAAGAATGCAGCATCAAGATCAGAGGAAGGCTTATTAACAACCTTCAACAAGTAGATTAGACAACCTTGTTTGCTGAAATTGAGGAAGACCTGAAGCACTTGCTGATGATCAAGAATTTCAGCCTTTAGTATTAATTACAACTCAACATCGAGGATCAAAGTCCTCATAACTGGATCATTGTGATAAATGGAAAAAAAGTTGAAGTTGTCAAGGATTTTGTCTTGGTTGGATCCACAATCAATGCTCATGAAAGCAGCAGTCAAGAGACTAAAGGAGGCCTTGGTACTGAGTAAATCTGCTGCATAAGATCTCTTTAGAGTATTGAAAAGCAACAATGTTACTTTGAGGACTAGGGTATGTCTGACTCAAGGCATGATATTTTCATTTACCTCATATGCATCTGAAAGTTGGAGATTGAATAAGGAAAAACCAAAGAAGAATTGATGCATTTGAACTGTAGTGCTGGAGAAGAATATTGAAAGCGCCATGGATTGCTAAAAGGCAAACCAGTCTGTTTTGGAGGAAGTATGGCCAGAGTGCTCCTTAAAAGCAAAGATGTTGAGACTTTGTCTTACATATTTTGGACATGTTCTCAGGCTATACCAGTCCCTGAAGAAGGACATCATGCCTGGTAAAGTAGAGGGGCAGTGAAAAAGAGGAAGGCTCTCAACAAGATGGATCAACACAGTGACTGCAACAATGGGAATGAGAACAATTCTGAGGATAGCACAGGACTAGAAAGTGTTTCATTGTTATGCATCGGGTCTTTATGAGTAGGAACTGATTTGTTGAGACCTAACAATAACAACAACCATTATGTCACACCGAGAAAATTTCCTTATCCTCTTCACTGATCTCTCTGCTTCCTCTTTAGTCCTGCTACAGGACATTACAAAATACACATAAATTAATGTATATTCCATATTATCCTCCCCTAAGTGTTCCCTTTACCATTAAAGTCCCAAATCCTCATGCATGACCTACAAAACCGTACATGATATTCACACTGACCTCTTCTTCTCCCATGTCCCCCTTACTCTCTAATTTTTTGTCATCTACCCTTTAATGAGTTCCTTTAATGAGTCCTGTTCAGGACTTTCACTCAGGGACTTCCAATCTGCATTATCTTCTTGATAATCACCCTGACTTATCCTGCCCACATCCTACCACCCTCTCTCTTTTCATTGCCTCTTAAACTCCAACTGCTGCTTTAGATCTGATCTTAAATGTCTGGCCCCACCCTGATGCCAGACTATGTCAGATATCGGTTACTCCTTCAGTAACTTCATATTAAAAAAAAATTTGCTAATAGAGTATATCACCATTTATAATTATGACTTTACTACATTTCTGCCTTCCCACTAAATTATGAATTTCACCAGGTCAGAAACTTTGTCTTTTTCACCACCACATCCCTTATACCTAAAGCACTGTCTGGAGGAACAAATGAATATGTAAATACCATGAGGAAGAACTTAAGAGCATATCTGAGCTTGACTGACCAATAGTCTGTGGAGAGAAAAGTGTTGGAGGTGTAATGGTAAGTTTGGGAAGCCAGCAAGAACTCCCCTAGTCAGAAGGAAGGTTTGGAGGCCCTAAGGAATCTTTGCCATAAAAGTATGAAGGGCTTCTCTTACTTGTTTGTGTTTGACAGGAAATCCACATTGCAGTGGCAGTTCTGAGGACATCTTTGGAAGAGCTAGAGGCAGCATGAAATTTCAGGAAAATTCTATGAAGTGAGCAACGGAAGTTCTCTGAATCGTCCCCCCCACCCCCACCCCCAAATCCCTAAACCTTCACTTTAATTCAATCAATAATCTCACATACATAGTGGGAGCTCAGGGTAGAGGCAATCAACTAGTTTTCTATTATTGATTAACAAATTATCATACACTTAGCAGTTTAAAATACCACCATTAATTATCTCACCATTCTGTAAGTCATACGTCTAGCAATCGGTTAGTTGGGCCCTCTGATTAGGGTTTTATTAAACTGAAATCAAGGCATAAGTCAGACTGAATTATCACCCTTTTCCATACCCTGGTAGTACTGTTGGATAAGAGTTGGGCTTCTTACAATAAGGTCAGTGGCTCAAACCTACCCACAACTCTGCAGCAGAAAGACGAGGTGGCTTGCTTCTATAAAGATCTAGTCTCAGAAATGCTATATCAGATAGCTATGAGTTGGAATTGACTTGATGACAATATGTTTGGTTTGGTTTTGGGTTTCCATGATCATTCGGGTTGTTGGAAGAATTTAGTTCTTTGTGTCTTGTCAAACCAATAGTGTGTGGAAGTGTGGAGTCACTGTCGGCTTCTTGAGGTCCTTTAGGGTCATGCTCAGATTCTAGAGGCTACTTACATCCCTCACAATGTGCCCCCTCCTCTGTCAGTAAAGCCAGCCACAGAGAATCTCACTCAAATCTCTGACTTCTGTGTATCTTACCTCTAGACCCAAATTTCAAGTGTCTATATGATTAAGTCATAGGAGCCCTGGTGGTATAGTGGTTATTTGTTGGGTTGTGATCCACATTGTTGGCAGCTCAAAACCACCAGGTGTTTGGAGGAAAAAATATTGGGCTTTCTACTCCTATAAACTGTTACAGTCTCAGAAACCCACAGAGGTTCACTATGACTCAGCATTGATTAAATGGCAACAAGTGAGTGATGAGATTAAGTCAGATTCATCTAGCTAATCTCCTTTTTCTTAAGATCAACTAGGCCAAACAGCATAACTTAATTGTGGGTGTGTTTGCTCGTCATAACTATAGTCCTTAGAATTATACAAAGCATGTATACCACGAAGGTAGTGCATCTTGAGGACAACATTACAATTCTATCTGCAACAGATAAAGAGCAAGAGACTATAGTAGGAAGGAATAAGAAAGAAGGATGAATGGAAATTAGAAACAAAGGGATAAAGTGGGATGAGTGATGCTATATTGTGGAGATTGCATGAAACTAAATGTGTACAAATTGCTGAATGAAAAGCTGATTTGCTCTGTAAACTTCTACTCAAGTCACAATAAAAAAGTAAAGAAACATGAGAAAAGTCTGGTCTCTGGGTCAAAATGGCCTACACAGAGTAAATCCTCCTCCAATAACCAGAAGGAATACAACAGGAAAGTGAGAGCAGAACACTAGCAGTTCAGAGAGCAACCCAATAGATAAGTGTCCCAATGCTCCTGAAGTTCAGGGATGGTGGGAGTGGCAGAGGGTAAGGGGAAAGAGGAGATATACCTAGCCCTTCCTAAGGCCAGGCCAAGCCCCTGATCTCACATCAGGCTTTAGAACCTACTTTATTCCACAGCTGGTATGTACTCCATTCACCGGGCTCCAGCCTGCCCTCAAATAGTGGGTACCCCGTGGTGGGTGAATTTCCAGGCACATAAGTGCCCCTTGGATGGTGACGACCGGGGAGGTGCATGCCCCTTCTAAGCTCCTTGAACACAGAAGGCTCCAGTAACTGCTCCGCATCTCAGTTGAAGTTCCCACTGACCTTAGTATTCTGTCCTTCTCAGGACCCCATCCCACTGTCAGCACCCTAAGTAGACCACTCAGGCTATCCAGAGCAAAATACCCTTCCCTCTGAGAAGACTCATAATCCTCCTTCCCGCTAGGTCATCCAGAGAAATAATCTTTCCTTTGGAAAATACCAGAGACAGTCCCTTCTCTCCCATCCCCTCTTGGATACTGCCAGCACCTGAACAGAGTGAAGTTGGCCCCCCATTGACTGGGGTCATTTGAACTATGTTCCTTTAGGACCAAAAGCAAACAAACAACAAATTCATGGATTCAGTCTCTTAGCAACTCTGTATGACAGAGTCAAGCGTCCCTTGTGGGTTTCTGAGATTGAAACTCTATACAGCTGGCTACAATTAGCCTCATCCTACCTTCCAACTACAAGAACATGGGTCTGAATTAGGTACAAACACCCAATCCAGAGACACTCACTTCTAGACACTATTCTAATTGCTGTCTTGGTCTCTCCCAGGGCAGAATTTAGACCCCCAGCTCTTTTTTGTTCTTCTTTCTTTTACCTCCCTTTCTTTAAAACAAAATCTTGTATTATTTACAATTCCTGTGACTGGTCATTTCCCACCAACTCCCCACTGGGCTATCCAAACAGAAGATGACCAGCTCTGATATCCCCTCCCTGAAACATCTCAGAGACTCCTGCTTCTTGGAATGTGTGGGTCACATCCCTTCTACACCCACTCAGCCCAAGATAGCCCTCAGAAACATCTCCATATCCTGCCATTCCACTTGATCCCCTAAACCTCCGGGCACTCTAGAGCATAAACATAGTCCAGCCACCCCATGTATCCAATCAGGTAGAATCACTCACTTACAGGCACTTATTATAACTGCGCAACTAATTCTTGCCCTTTGTGCTTTAGGAAACACATCTTTCTCTCACACACATCAGTGACAATGCTCATGGACAGAACTTAAAACCCCAACAAAACACCTTACTCTCTTTCTTTCATTCTTTTTCCCTCTCTTTCCTTTTTGATTTCTTTAATTCTTCTTTTGTTTCTCTTTTTCTTCTGAACAGAAGTTCACACTATTCTTTCAATTCTCTGTCAATCAATATTACCCTTTCTTTTGTCCTTTCAAAATTATTTTTTTAAATCCATTTATTAGCACTACTTGATCTTTTTTATTCATCCTCTATAATTTCTCCTTCCATATTTTGATCTCTACCCTAGCCCATACTCCACTCCTCTTCTGATACTTCTGAAAAGTCTACTATCCCTCTACTATACCACTCAACAGAACTAATTACCCCAATACAACCTGACATCCCTGACACACCTAACAGCTGTACCAAGATGCCAAGAAAACAGCAGAAAATATTGGTAACACACGCACAAAACAACAAACAAGGAAACAGACACAAATAAGTGAACAACACCCAGAGCTAAAGGGAATTGGTAAAATCAAACAGACTATGGAATCACGAGAAAAATAATTCAGAAGAATGATGGCTGTGCCTACAACAGATGAAGAGAGAGATAAAAGTAAAGAATGCAAATGCTGGAAAACTCACTTCAAGCCTTACAAAAAAAAAAACAAAAAACACCTCCAAACTGAAACACAGAAGTCAAACTCTAGAATAGCAGGATTTCAAAACACTATAAAAGAACAGAGAAATAGAATTGAAGGTATAAAAACTTGAATTCATGAACTTGAAGACAAATCTTTGAACTTCAATCTGAGATAAGAACAAGCAACAAAAATGCAAAGGAAAATGAAGCAAACCAAAGAACAATATGGGACACAATCAACAGGAACAACCTATGACTTATATGGATTCCAGAAGAGGGATGAAAAAAAAATCCACAAAGAGAATAGTCAGAGAACGTCTAGAAGAAAAAATTCTTCACTGCATAGAGGGTGAATACATAACTATCCAGGAAGCGGAGACAACCCAAATCAAAAGGGACCCCAAGAGAAAAGCACAATGACAAACTTGTCAACATCAAAGACAAATGAAAAATTCTAAGAGCAACCAGAGATGAAAAGAACAGTCTTATATAAATTGACAACAATTAGAAAAAACTCCGAGTTTTCAGCAGAAACCATACAGGCAGAAAGAGAATCGAGAGTCATATATAAAGTCTTGAAGGGAAAAAAACGTCAACAAAGGATCTTTTATCCCAAAAAATTATCATTCAAACACGAGAAGGAGATGAAAATATTCCCAGACAAGGAGAAAATAAAGAAATTTGCAAAACCACAACCAGCACTACAAAAGATATTAAATGGAGTAGTATGGACATATAATCAACAACAGCAGCACACAAATATGAGACCAACATTAAAACAACAAACTAACATCCATCAAATGGATGCTGATTCATAATAATGCTATATGTGTCTTCTGAGGCTTAACTCTTTATTGAAGTAGAAAACCCTGTCTTTCTCCCATGAAATAGCTGGTGGTTTCGAAATGCGGAACATATAGTTAGCAGCCAATGCATATCCACTATTTTGAAGGGCTCCTGAAAGCATGTTTGAATCGGCTATGGGATATCAAGTATGCAAGGGCTTCTGGACACTAAGGCTAGGATGCAGGCAGTGATAGGGGAAAGTGACATTATCCTCAAGACTATCCTGTACCACCGCCCCGCCCCCCCCCTCCACACACACACCTGTCATGGCAGGTGACAGTGGCAAGGAGCACCAACAAGCACAAACAAGGAATCTGTGCTTTTCTTTGGGCCACCCTGGAGGCACCATGGCAACAGTCACAGATTAGCAGCCACAGACACTGGCCACTCTTGACACCACTGCCATCACCCCTACCAAGCTCACATGGAAAAAGAGTTGAGGCACTATGCCACTGCTGCTGGACACTGGCAAGAACAAACCAGGCATGGAGACCACCAGTGGCCTGGGTAGTGATGCACACTGAGACATGGCACCAGATTGGAATCCAGTCAAGAGGTCAGGGCACAGTACATGAGTAGAGTGAGAGCACCAAGAAAGGTGGTGGCAAGGGGAGTTAGATCCAACACACTGCAGAGGTCCAAGTTTTGGAATCCCACATGTGACCCCACCCCCACCCCACATGCTGAAGCTGAAGGAAAAAGGGACCAATCACATGTCCATCCTATTCTGTCCAGAGACACATGGCTAGGAACCTTTCTAACTTGAGAACCAGGAGGAACACACACACACATGCACACATACTAATGAGTTAAGCTGTGCATGTGGCCCCAGCGTTCTTCACCAGGCCAGCCTAACTATAGCCTTCCCTGATTCAGGGTAGGGAGGTTTATTTATGTCCTGATGACTTAGTGGTTATGTACTGAGCTGCTAATCACAATCAGAAGTTCAAAATCACCAGCTTTCCCTCTAAATATAGATGAGACTTTTTATTAGACCTACACATAGAACTCAAAGTTGTCAGGATCATCACTGAGAAAATTAGGAGAAATCTAAGAGCATACAGGGCATACACGGCCTACCAAATACACCAAAGAAGCACACACCATGGAAGATAAATAGAAGAATAGGACGTATTAAAAATAAAACACTTAAAAAAACATCTTATTGGAGGCTCACAAAGCTCTCATAACAATTCACACATACATCCATTGTGTCAAGAACACTGGTACATCTATTGCCATCGTCATACTCAAAACATCTCTCTACCTATGCCCCTGGTATCAGCTCCTCATTCTTTTCCCTTCCCTCCCACCTTCCCTCCCTCCAGAACCCTTGACAACTTACAAATCATTATTATTTTTTCATGTCCTTCACTGTCCGATGTCTCCCTCCACCCACCCCTCTGTTGTCCGTCCTCCAGTGAGGGGGCCATACAGAGAACATTGTGATCAGTTCTCCCTTTCTCCTCCAACTTCCCCTTACCCTCCTAGCATCACCACTCTCACAACTGGTCCTCAGGGGTCCATCTGTCCTGGATTCCCATGTTTCCAGCTCTCAGCTGTACCAGTTCACATCCTCTGATCCAGCCGGATTTGCAAAGTAGAATTGGGATCATGATAGTGGGTGGGAAGAAGCATCAAAGAACCAGAGGAAAGCTGTATGTTTCATTGGTGCCACACTGTACCCTGACTGGCCTGTCTCCTCCCCGTGATCCTTCTGTAAGGGGATGTCCAGCTGCCCACAGATGGGCCATGGGACTCCATTCTGTACTCCCCCAATTCACAATGATATGACTCTTCATTCTTTGATGCCTGATACCTGATCCCATCGACACCCCATGATCACACAGGATGGTGTGCTTCTTCCACATGGGCCTTGTTGCTTCTCAGCTAGATGGAAACCTGACTATCTTCAAGCCTTTAAGACCCCAGACACCACATCCTTCTATAGTCGGGCACCATCAGCCTCCCTCACCACATTTGCCTATGTATCTGTTTTGTTTTCAGCGATTGTGTTGGGAAGGTGAGCATCATGGAACACCAGTTTAATAGAACAAAGTGTTCTTGCATTGAGGGAATACTTGAGTGGAGGCCCAATGTCCATCTGCTACCGTAATACTAGACCTATAAATATATGCACATAGATCTATTTCCCCATCGTCATATATAAATACATTTACAAACACATATACTACAACGAAAGACTTCATTGAAAGAGTAAAATGAGAGCTCACAGATTGGGAAAATATATTTAGCAATGACATAACAGACAAAGAACTAATTACTGAAATTTACAGTATACTACAAGCCTACAATGAGAAAAAAACAAGCAACCCTCTGAAAAGGTGGACAAAGGACCTGAGCATACAATTCACAGAAGATAGCACGTGAGGAAATGGTTTTGTTAACTAGCCATCTGGGAAATGCAAGTCAAAACAACCATGAGATACCATTTAACACCCATAACCAGCCCAATTTTAAAATACTGAGAACAACAAATTCTGGAGTGGCGGTGGAAACATTGGAACACTTTTACACTGATGGTGGGTTTATAAATACGTACAACCACTGTGGAAAGCAGTATGGCGATTCCTAAAACAGATGGCAATAGAAACACCATATTATCCAACAATACCCTTACTGGGCATGTGCTCTATTGAAATAAGAAACAGATCTCAAACAGACATATGCTCCCCCATGTTTATTACAGCACAGTTCACAATAGCAAGAAGCTGTAAATTTCTTGACTAAATTCCCATCTGTAGAATATTGAATTTAAAAAACAAACTCTGGTATATACACACAATGGAATACTGGGCATCTCTGAAAAACAACAATGAAACTATGAAACACCTTATGACAGGAGGGATCTGGAAAGCATTATGCAGAGTGTAGTAATTCTATCACAAAAGGACAGATACTGTATGTGTCCACTGTTGTAGGAACAAGTAACAGGATGAGCACGGGCTCAGGCTTACAGGGTATTTAGCCTGCTGGATAGGGGTGTCCAGACAGCCTGGTAGAGAGCCTCCCTGGTGCCAAAGAACTATACACCATCCTCTCTCAGTATGTATCTTTTTGAAAAAAATAATTTTATTGGGGACTCATACAACTCTTACCACAATCCATACATGGATTGAATCAGGCATGTTTGTACATATGATGTCTTCATTCTTTTCTAGAAATTTACTTTCTTTTTTTCTTTTTGTACTGTTTCAGGTTTTTATTACTGTTTTATATTTTTCTAATGGCTTGGGAGGATGGGTGGGAATGCAAACTGGAGGTTGGGGCAGGGAACCTATTGAAAGGACCAGAGCTGGGGTCCAAGGTGGAAGAAGTCACTCTTCTCTGATGCACTCTTCCCATCTCTTCCTGCCCCCAAAGATAGCAGGAAATTCTGCAAGGGTGACCAGAGGCACAGTATGCACTAAACAGTAGCCACCTGCCTGCTTGTCCAATTGAAAGCACCGGACTTGCTTCATCATGCAATCTTTGAAAATCAGGTATCCTTGAGCAACTCCTGCCATGTTCCTGGTCTTCTCCACCCGGTCTGGACACTGTGCAGAACCTGAATGGCATGTGACTTGATTGTCTAAGTTATCAAAACCAGTTGGTCAGAGCGGATGGGTGAGAAGGACACTTCTTTCTCCAGAATGGCTATGATCTCAGCAGCCAGGTCTGCGCAGAGACTTCGGGGAGGAGGAGAGGAGTAGACATTTACTTTCTATTGAGCTCCTTGGTATCAGCTCCTTTTTTTTTTTTGAGATGGGAGCTCATGACACACAGAATCCAGGAATGGGAGTGGGAATAGTGATCTCAGTGTGTATCTTGAAGGTCACTTTGGCAGAGAACTCCTCATATCAACTGGAATCAAATTGTTAAGAGAGGGGAAGTGGATGTTGATTATTGAGCAACTGCCACGTAAAGTTATGCCGAGACCACCACCCCCCCTCCTGACAGGTAGACATCCCTATCAGAGGGATGAGGGATACCAATGGGAAAGTCATGCCAGGAGAGGGAAAAGGGAGTAGACATGTCTGGGTTAACACAAATGAATGAATATTGATAAGAAAAGTGGGAGAACCGACCTCAAAGATGAAGGAAAATGACTAAAAATACTTTTAAGGGCCCTAAGGGGAGAATATCCCTGTTCATATGCACCGATTAAGACACATTGGCCTGACTTTGGGGACACATTCTGGGGACTCAAACCAAGTGCCATAGAACACTGGGGCATCTAATCCTGGATCTTCAAGGTACACACATTCTCCAAAGGCTGCATCAGAGAGATCTGATGCAGAAACTCCACTCGGTGAACTGGACTCTACTTCAAACACGTTTATAACCTGAGAGCTTAAGTCTGAAAATTCATGGTGTTTGAAGAAGCAGAAGACAGCTAGCTATACCAAGGTTATTGAACTGTCGGTAGGCAGACAATCATTGACTTACTACATCAATGCCCTATATACTGTATTAAGATTATATATGTTAATATATGTTAAATATATCTTAATAATATATTTATTCTGACAAACCTGTGAGTGAAATTCTGTACAAATCAAAAATCCATGTATAGAGTTTAAAGCACTGTCGAGAAAAAGTGCACATGTATAGGACACTTTTGGAGACCAAAATATAGGGATTGCTGATTTGTACAAATTAACAACATTCCACATTCCAAATAGAAACTCTGCTTTACACTGGATAGACACCCAGGAGAACTACTGCATCTCAAAGAGAACTGACTCAAAGGCAGGTGAGAGTCCCAAGGACTTCACTTCAGTACAGAACCACAATCAGGCACTTTCAATACTTCCAGACATTTGTGGATTGATAACCCCCAAAACATAATAGTGCACCTTACCAATACACAGCAGAATTTAAGTACACACTAGACACATGTAAAAAGAACCCACATATACAAAACCGTCCACACTCTCAGACAAACATCAGCAAAATATAAATACACAGGATACTCCAAGATACTTACAAGGCATAAAATAAACTCATATAAATATACATCTAGGCACACGTACTTTGACATCCATACACCAATGCTAGGTAATATGCAAATATGCAGCCAGACACAGAGTGACACACAAAACACTACCAGATTTGCACAATAGTACACTGAGACACATATATACCCTACGGCTTACCCCAATACCCAGGAATTCAGCACACACAGGCATACATTTTCTGCTATCTTAGACATAAAATGCACCAATGAACTACGACACACATTGACACATAACCAAAAGCATGCACACTGATACACATCAATACATACCAATATATAATCAGGCACATAAATAAGATAAACAGAATCACACTCTGATATGCCACCTTCGCCTAACATGCAAATATACACTATGCCCAGAGATAATCATACATACCTAACCAAATATAATGTTTACACACTCAAAGGCAAACACACATATGAGGGGGCTTCAAAAATAATCCATGGACACAAGGAATTAAAAGTTATTAGAATTTTTCCACACTGTTTTTGAAGCCCCTTCATACACATGCAAGGAGGTTAGATATATTCACACACTTATCTGCCTGCACACATACAGACTGAGCAAAGGGATAAAGTGTTGGGTAAGCTGGGATAGAAGCACATGCTGAGTAATGAGCCTTCTGACCACAATTCTGCACAACTTCATATGAACCCCAGGTCCCAGAGTATCACTCCTGCCTGTGTTGTGGGTGACCATGTGAAAGATCATGCTTCTGACCCACAATCCCTTCCTTCCAGGGTTAGATATGAATGCAAAACTACTCATAGAACCACCAAAGGCAGGCCATCAGGACTAGAACCACATCTACTTCCAGGTCATCACCCTCTGCAGATAGACCTCAGGTCTATGCTGTCACTGTCACTTGCAGCTTCATATCTGTGTGAGGTGAGAGTACCTAGCTTCTCCCTGAAGACCCCCCTGTCCTGGCAAGGAGGCTCCAGCTGCAGCACCATGTGGTTTTTGCAGCCCACCTCACCCTCTGTTGTGTATATATATACACAATTATATATATATATATAATTTTTATTGGCACCTATCCACACATCATACAATTCAATAGTCCAATCATAACAAAATTGTACAATCATTATCTCACCCCCTGTTTTATGTGCCACATGTAGTTCCTAGTTCTCCAGCACTGCTTTCTTTTTTATTTTTGATTTTTCTCTTTAAAAAGTTTTCTGATTAATTTCTTTCTTTTTTAATTTTTAATTTTCTTCCAGTGTTTTACAGTTTGTTTTGATGGTATTGTTCTAATTGTTGTAGTTGATGTGTCAAGGTGTTCATTTTAATTCTTTCTGTTTGATTTGTCTTTATTGCTATAAATTGCACTCTGAGTACTGCTTTTGCTGTAACCCAGATATTTTGGTTTGTTGTATTTTCATTCTCATTTATTGCAAAGAACTTTTAAAATTCTGTTCTTTATTCCTTCAATTACAAAGTACATTTTAAGGAAAGTGTTGTTCAATGTCCATGTAATTTGTTTTTTGGGGGGATGATCATCCTATGATTAATTTCTAATTTTATAGCATTGTGATCTGAAAAGCTGGTTTGACCTATCTCGGTGTTTTAAAATTTATTGATGCTTGGTTTATGGGATAATATATGATCTATTCTGGAGTATATTGTACATGAACTAGTAAAAATAGTATAATGTGGGTTTTGGGGGGGCAGGGGTCAAGCATTCTATATTTGTCTAAGATATCAAATTAATTAATTATATTTAGTTCCTCTGCATCTTAGTTGAATATTTTCTAGCTTTTCTGTCTTTGCTAGAAAGTGATGTCTTAAAGTCTCCTAGTATTATAATATAATGTCCTATTTGTGTCTTCATTTCTATAAGAATTTGATTAATATATTTTAAAGCCTTTCATTGGGTGCATGGAGGTTAATTAGAGTTATATCTTTTTGTTCATTTTTCTTTCGACATTATATAATGGCCTTCTTTGTCTCTCATTATGGCTTTCACTTTGATTTTTATTTTGTCAGAAAATAATATTGCTACTCCTGTTTTCTATTGCCTCCCATTAGCTTGATATATTTTTTCCATTCTTTGATTTTCAGTCCATTTATCTTATATCGAAGGTGTGTTTCTTGTAAAAAGCATATTAAAGACTCATGATTTCTTACCCATTCTTCTAGTCTTTGTGTATTAACTGGTGAATTCAATCCATTTGCACTCAATGTTGTTATTGATAACCCAAACAAACTCACTGCCATGGAGTCAATTCCAACTCACAGATACCCTATAAGACAGTGTAGAACTGCCTGAGTTGGATTCACTTAATATGGCCCTTCAAGCCATAATCCTTTATGTGATATGCTATAATTCTACATTATGTATGCCAGTGGCTACCGTCCCACTTGGGAAGGCATTATCTGCTAACAGGAATAGGATAAGATTAAGATCCGACCTAAGTAAAGGATGTGAATTGGACCACACTGTTTGATGGTTATCCTGGTTACATATAATGCATGTAAGGTATTAAGTGCTACAGCTAACAGGAGAACAAAAACGGTTTCTTGAGTGGTCTGGGGAAAAGCCTGGCTGATTAAGATTATTAGAAGGCTTGTGCCTACTGGAAACATCTTTAGAGAGGCCCCAGGTCATATGTGCATAAATAAGATACAGTCCAGGGGTAGAGAATACATTATTGTATTGGGGTAAAACTTGTTTGTACCATGTAACTCCCACCAGATAAACTTTCCCTGCATGGGTCTGGTAAACTGCGGTAAGATACTGATAAGATTTTCTGGAGGACTTCCGGAGAGATGGTGACATAGTGACACATACCAGAGGTACTCCGCAGAATTCAGCCCAGAAGAGTTGCTTAGAGGGAAAGTCAATGCTGCTGGAATGCAGGAGGAGCATCATAAAGATAAGTAGGCACAGACCCATAGGGTTTTGAGGGGCTGGGGTCTTTTGGTTTACTTCAGTGGAAGCCAGCTGGGGCTTGACCTTGGCCCCACCACTGTCTCTGCCAGAGCCGGCACCATTTGGATCCCGTAGGGGGGGTTGGTATCAACACAGCCACAGCTTGCCACTGCCACCTCGGGGTGCGGACTATATCCTTGCAGCTCCCCAAGCAGGGATCAGGGTTCAGCTACATTGTTTCTTTTGATTCCATCTCTCCTCTCTGTTTCCCCACGGTCTTGAAGGGCTGCACAGGGGTTTTTTCTCTGGGCTGCCACAGTTTGCCACCACCGCCTTGGGGCAGGGACTAAACCCTTGCAGCTAAATGAGCGGGGATCGTGACTCAGCTACATTGTTTCTCTTGTTTACCTCTCTTCCCTATATCCCCTGCACATTTTAAGATGTCTTACTTTTTACTTTTTTTCCTCCTATTTGTCTCTTTCCTGTTCTCTCACACTCCACTCCTGACCTCCAGACCACTCCCCTTACCATAGGGCATTTACACGTGCACCACACCCGGCTAGGTGAGCTCCACCCTGTGAAGTTAGCCCGAGGCTCGGGAAAGCCCTTATTTCCCTCCAGGGGATACTCTGCCCAACTTCTGCAACACCAAAGCAAGCAATCCACTAGCTCTCTGAGAGGGAAGCCACAGGATGATAAAGTGGTAGGTTAATTCCATAGTGAAATTAGCTGTAGGCAGTTCTAAGAAGCATTCCTACAAGTCTCCCAGAGAGAGCCAGTGCTCTTAGACTCCCTGGAAAATGGCACCTGGCTCCTCTAAAACAATGTAACGCAAACAGCCATCAGCCTCAATGGCCTCAATGACAAAACAAGAGAAACAAAAGGCAATGGCAGAAGATGTCCCGAACATAATGACATGCATAGAAGAAACAGACATTGAGCTGCCACAGAGAGAAATTTTCAGAAAGCTGCTTGGAGTCACACAAGATATGAGGTAAACAATACAGAAAAAGGATGAATTGATAGAGGAGATAAAGGCCATACACCAAAGGGAAATACAGGAGCTTATGGAGGAGATAACAAACACCAGTCGCAAAAACACGGACCTTGAGAATCGATTGGAGGAAGCAGAGAAGCGCATCAGTGACTTGGAGGACAGCCAAGCAGATTTTAACAAACGCCAACAAAAATCTAATTAGATCATCAGAGAAGATGAAAACCTAAGGGCTATGTCTGATGCTATGAAGCAGAACAACATTAGAATTATTGGCTTACCAGAGGAAGACACAACAAAGAAGTCATCTGCAACAATA